TCTTGTATATTAAATATAAATTAATCTTTAAAAAACAAAAAAAGAAATAAAAACAAAAAAAACAAAAAACTAAAAAAGAGAAAAATATATTCGGATCATCCGTCACGAAATTACTCTCCCTGAGATTCTGAAAGAAGTAACCCTCGCTCGCGTATTTTCCGGTCAGCTTCCTCGGAGTCTGGTAATAGGTATTCGGATCCCCATCCGAGTAAACGTACACCTTAAATCTACTCCGCATCCTTTCGTAATTCAACCTGAACACCTCCGGAAAATGGTAAACGTCGTCGTATCCATAATTTTCCGACGCGGCCACTTTCTCGACATTATCCACGTCGCCGTCGTCAACAGCCTACAAGAATTCCAACAAGATTGAACTTAAAAAAATAAAATTAGTGAAATTGAAGCAGGTAATCGTGGATTGGGAGTAGTACCTTGGGCAGCGAAGGATGTACGGTGAGGGGGGTAGGGCTGGTGGAGGGGGAATACTGGAGAGAAGGGGAGTGGAGGGATTTAAGGGAGAGAAAAGTGAAGGAGACGAGTGTTATGATGGCGAGTGTGAGGAGGGAGCTTCGGAGAGTGAGTGCGGCGGAGGGCGGTGGCTGAGGGAGTTTCGCCGCCAACATTCCCGCGGCGGAGTGGTGGTCGCCTGAGTAACCCTTGCCGATGTGTGGTGGTGGCGGAAGAGTCGAATTGATCTCGGAGACCGGCGAACAGGAGAAGGGAAGAAGAAGACTTTTTTGTTTTTTTTGTTTTTATTTCTTTTTTTGTTTTTTAAAGATTAATTTATATTTAATATACCAGATGTAAGTGAATAGACAAATATATCCCTGCAAATGTCACGTGCAAGGCACATGTTTCAACTTTCCGGTCAAAATTGCCGGAAAATTGAGTTTAGGGGGCACCGTGCAACGAATTAACGAGTTCAGGTAAAAACGTGCAAATTTTTTTTGTTTGGGGGGTAAAGTGCAAATCGGCCCATAGTTTAGGGGGTAAACTGCTTTTTACTCTTTTTAGAATGAAAAATGCCGCACATACAGAAATACCAACAACATACAGAAAATACCTTTAGGCCTTGTTTGGTTGGGGAGATTAGTCATTATTAACTAAATAATTGGACTTTGTTTGATGTTTGGTATCCCAATAATATGCCAGGTCGACCCACAAATATTATGTTATCACGACTTATCTTGCCTATCAGGGAGTTCTTTTGTTGGACTTCTCGGGATTCAATAAAACAATTGGGTTTCCATTAGATTATTTATCTTAGCTATTCTTATCTTACCAACCAAACGAGGCTTTAGAGTTGTTTCCCCCCTCCTTTTCTAATTGCAAGAGTCAATCATTGACATCAATCCTAGAACCCATACCACTATTCATTTACAATATATACAATAGATATTAAAGAGAAAAAACAGATAAGAAACCATATATAGTACAAAATTACAGTATTACAAGATGATAGTTAACCTATATCAGCTGCTTTTTGTGGGCTTGCTTTTCCTCCTAGTTCTGCTTCTCCTTTGTGCAAACTGCTTCTGCTTTGTTGATACTTTATCTTCTAATTTAAAATTCTCTTGTTTATCTAATTTTGATGATGGGCCCACCATTTCTTCTGTTTTCTTCTCTTTATTATCTCCTTCTTCTCCACAATCACTAATAGGTTTTGCTGCTTTCTTGGAATTAGGGCTAACAAAATCTTGAAACTGATCAATCTGTGTTATTTGCTCTTCATCTTTTTCATCTTCACTTTTTTCTGTGTTTATTATTTTACGGGGTCTCCCTCTTTTTCGTGGAGTCTGTGCTTCTGTTGCTGTTGTTGTTGATGGTGATTCTGCTAATAATACCTCTTCCTTTATCTTCTTCACACCCTTCTTCTTCCCCATCATATTTTTCTTTCACCTGTGCATAAAGTTTTTGGCAAACAGAATTGCCAAGCTCTGTATATGAAAACAACTAATCACTGATACAGTTGTAATTATCTGTTTTATCGAAAAACACTTCTATTTAGGTTCTTGTGTGTTTTTGTGAGTGTTTATGAGAGAGAGAGAGAGAGAGAGAGAGAGAGAGAGAGAGAGAGAGAGAGAGAAGGGGTGGCCGAGACTTTTCATCTAACTCATATGGTTAACTAAGAATATTTTTGTACTGTGTGTGTGTGTGTGTGTGTGTGTGTGTATAATTTGTGTTTATATATTTAAAGTGTAGAATATGGAATTTGGTGAAGAGGAAAAATGTGGGATTATCGAAAAAAAATTTACTGGTTTTTACGTGTGGTGATGATGAATGGTTAGGTTATGAGAAGTGGGGTATGGATTTTTCCAGTGTGCAGCGTCGCAGTCTGACCCACTTGTGTCTTCTTCGCAAGCTCTAGCTCTTCTCTGTTGTGTGTATATAATTTATTATGTATCTATATATATACACACACACATACATTTCTCTTTATTTTTTCTTCTGTTACTTGGTGGTTCAAACCTCAACCCCGAGTTTATTAACTTAAACCTTGATTAATAATTACATTTCCGGAACTTCCTCCGGTCCGAATGAGCTTGTCGGCGGACCACTACAGTATTCTGTTGGCTTTGGTGCCTCAATATTATGGTGGGAATCGAACCGATTGCATCAGAATTGGCATTTTCCGGAAATTTCAAAAAACAAAATTGCAAGTGCGAGACTATTTCCAATTTCGTTCCAGAAAAAGGTAGGGAATTAGGATGATTTTTTTTTATAATAATATTAGAGAGTCGAATTTTCGGATCGAAATGGTGAAAATTTGAAATTTTATTTTGACAATCCATTATTAAATTTGTATTGGTAATTATGTTCCTTTACAATGTCAATCCAACAAGCTTAGATAATTAAAACTCGACTTATTTGACTACGCGCTATCTTACTCCATCAACAACCAGTTCACTTCTACGACTTCTTTCATCTTAACTTCTATAAAAAAGGCGATAAGTCAATACCTACGACTTGTTTGGTCGGCACTATTAAGTAATATAAGTTATATTGACTAAATAGTTGAAGATAATAACATTTCGATTGACAAGATTCATAGTTAGGCCAACAATAAAAATAGAAATTCAAGTCTATAGGCTATCAATGAATAAATTTAGTAACTACCTTACCCTCTACAATTATTTTCGTTTTACAAAGAACCTTAATAAATTAATATTCGATAAATTAATAACCTCGCTTAAATAATAATTTCTTTCGGTCCCAATTCAGTAAAAATGTATTAACTTGTTAGTACAATAATTTAATATTTCGTTAAATTAACAGAATTTTGTTAGTCTCCGCTGTATCAATTTATAAAGGTTTAACTATAATTACTAAAAGGAAAAGAAAATTATCCTTGACATACTTCAAATCATTGTATATTATTGCTAAAAATAGGAATTGTTGAAAATTCAAATTT